GCGTGTTCGGGCTACTGTGTCAACTGTCCAGGTCGGAGCACAAGTCTGAAGAAGCAGATGCCTAGCTAGATGATTTGCAAGAGTGGTGCCTATATCCCTTGCACCTAAGGAGCTGGTGCAATCGAGTGCTTTGCCAATAAAGAATTAAAATTCCAAATGCTTGTCTTCACCGGGGCTGGGTGTACTCGGGACAATATTGGAAAACCAAATTGCATAGGATCTGGGCACCATTCTTTGGTAGCACAGAGGAGAGTATGATGACTCCATTTCAAACCCCCCACCCAAAAAGAGGACACCTTTATATTTTGCTTTATTGCCTCACCTGCTTTAAGAGTTTACAAGATAAATTAATGTCCCACAAAGCCAATAAAAGATTAGCAAGGGAAGAAAGAATTGAAAAGGATTCCTTATTAGCAATGCACAAAAATGTCACCCCACCTCCCCCAAAGCCAAAACCTAATTCTCAATGCTAAGACTACATAGCTTTCTTTTCCCAATCAAATGTAATTTGTGTTGTATAAGATAGCCATGTTGTTCTTTGATGTGATATGTAAAAGAGGTAATTTAAATTAAAATTCTGTATTACCGCATGCAAAGTTCAAGATAAATGAAAGGATTACTTATAAGACTTTTCTTAATATCAGTTGAACACATCAAAGGTAACTCATGTCAAGCAGAAAGAAGTCTAGCCCACAGAAGTGGAATGAAAAATTAACAATCCCCTCTCCATGAGGTTCATTAACCTTTCGGAGGAAAGTTATTACTATTGGAATTTGTCCTTTTCAGTAAAATTGTAGGAAACATAATTTACTTTTATATATTCATTTATAAGATTTTACTTTTGTAGTGTGTTAGGACAGCTGAAAAGCTAATATAGAGCTTATCTTAAAAACTTAACTACAAGAAGCTCATTCTTATTTATTTTTGTTCTGAACACTTCAGTTTTTTAAAAAAACAATGCATAAAGCCTGCAGTTCAACAACAAAATACCCTCCACCTATAAAGGCAACTGAGAACAATTTAAAATTTCATCAGTTCTTCACATATATATATCCCATTATTCCTCCAAGAAGTTATAGGTGACCTGCATAGATGGGGTTTTATTTTTTTACCTCACAACAATCCTTTAAGGCAACTGGTGACGCAGTGGGAGTCATGCACCAAGCAGGGATTGGAATTCAAGTCTCCCAGTCCACATCCAACACTGATCACTATACCACAAGGTCTTCTCTTTTCACACAAAAACTCATACCAACAACAAACTTAGTTGGTCTCTAAGATGCTCTAAGGTGCTATTTTTTTATTTTTTTGTCTCGACTACTGCATACCAACACGGCTACCTACCTATAACTAAGATTTTCAGGAGCGGCCTTATTCTGAGCAAGATCAAGTACTAGTCCTCTCTAACCAACTACTATGGAAGCAGCTAGACAGGGTTATAAAGCAGAAATCTCTCTCAATTCTCCATGAATAAAGGAATGCTAGGGATGGGATTTGGGGTTGTATAAACTAAGAGCCTTGCTGGATCAACCCAAAGACCCATCAAATGCACCATGCTGTTCTCACAGGGGCCAAACAGATGCTCATGGGAAGACCACAAGCAGCTCAGGAACTGGTCATAGTGCATATTCACCATGCTTCATGGAGAAGACACACATAAATGCATCCACGAAGAGGAAATTCTGCACCTGCCCTGATCAATTTTTTCTTTCAAACTCACCATTCAGAATGTGCACACTCCTCAAGGCCTGCATAATGACCAGACAATTTACCTGGGAAATGAGTACAGAATACTGTCAGATTACATGCACATTATCCATGAGGCAGAGTGAATGTGCATAAGGCTCAGTTGCTATGCACATTATTCAACTAAATCACATTACCCCGAACATAGGGGTACTGAAGTCAGCCCTAGCCAGAGTCAACCAGCGTGTCTCCAAAGGGACTCTCATTGTGAGCAATCATCCCTAGCGTTATTATCCATGCCAGGCATTTAGACATATAAATTCCTTGGCATTGTAATATTCTGTCAACTCAGCTCACAGAGGCAAAGCAAGACACAGATCAGATGGCTGAGGGTTAGGACCATGGAGAGCTCCCTGTGGAGCAAGATTAGCCTGGATATATGACTCACTAGGAGTCTTGCTCCAGCTAGTCTGGATTTGACTGAAGCTTTTCAGATAATTCTGTGAAGAGAGACGTGGGGGAAGAAGAAGAGTTTGGATTTGATATCCCGCTTTATCACTATCCTAAGGAGTCCCAAAGCAGCTAACAATCTCCTTTCCCTTCCTCCCCCACAACAAACACACTGTGAGGTGAGCGGGGCTGAGAGACTTCAGAGAAGTGTGATTGACCAAGGTCAGCCAGCAGCTGCATGTGGAGGAGTGGGGAAGCGAACCCGGTTCACCAGATTATAAGTCCATTGCTCCTAACCACTACACCACACTGCCTCCTTGGAAGGATTTTGTAGTTTAAATCTGCATTCAAACAGAGATATGCTCTGGTGGGATTGAAATGCCTCCTGTGGTCCCTGTGCATGGTGGGGTGCAGAAGGGACTCCCTATGAGACTGCAGGGAGTTTAGGGAGTTCAGGTGGGGCATTATCTAGGAAGGAGGGCAGAGCTACCTCTTCCGGAGTAAAGAAAACCTGAGGCCTCATTGTCTGCTTCTTCTCCTTGGAAACTGAGCCCAGCTTTGGCTGGGGAGGGTGGGATATAAATAAAAATTATTATTATTATTATTAAGATTCCTGCAGGGACACTTTGGCAACTGCCTCTTACAGAGTTTCGGAGATCAACTTGTCTCTACCCATCAGAATCTTTAAAGTTTCTCCTCTAAAGAAGATGGGTCAGAGCCCTGGACCATAACACCAATTTGAACCACATTCATTGATACATCCCCTCATTTTACTGTCTGCAGGCTGACATCTGGCTCTCACAGAGAAAAATAACCTCACACACATATTGATACCAGTTGAGACCAAATACAGATGTGGGGAACCTCAGGCTCAAGCGCTGATTCTGGCCCTCCAAGTCTATCTGTTTGGCCGTCAGATCTCTCTCCATGCCATACCCCTCACTGGCCTTGCTGCATCTCCCAAGTGATTTGCCTGGCGTGAATGTGTCCTTGAACTCTAATAATAGTTCTTGCATAGATGGATGGAAGACAGAGAGGGGTGCGTCTAGGAACTAGCCTACTGTACAATGATAAAATGTATTATTTGTTGCACAGCCTACTTTTGCTTCTGGACCTGACCAGCACTGGCATATGACTTTCAGAATGTTGCACAGGAAAGTTGCACCAAAAAAAAAGTTGCAAAGAGGGGAATGTAGCCCAAAGAGCTCCCAACCTCTGGACATAAGGCTATTTGAACAAAATGGTGTAGTGATGAGTATGAGCTGTTAACAAAAGTACCAAATAATTACAGTCATACCTCATTTTGCGTCCACTTCAGGTTACATGTTTTCGTGTTGCATCTCGCGGCAACCCGGAAGTACCAGAATGGGTTACTTCTGGGTTTCGCCGTTCGAGCATGCGCAGAAGCGCTAAATCGTGCCACATGCATGTGCAGACGTGGCATTTCAGCTTGCATCAGTTCCGTGTTACAGACGGACCTCCAGAATGGATCCCACCCGTAACATGAAGTTCCACTGTATTTCAGCACACTATTCATATATATTTTATTTCATATATTTGCTGTGACACGCTTTGGCCACTCACAGTTACAGAGGTAGGAAGAAAAAAAATGTATGTCATTTATAAATAAAATTAAAATGCACTAGGGGCCACTTTTGTAGAACTATCTTCCTTGGAATGTTTGGAAGAGCAGTAACCTGAACATATTTTGGAAAAGCTCACTCTGAGGGGATATTTTGTGGTACAGATTAAATCGTGGCAGCAAATGGTGGGGGTGGGGTGTTATTAAAACATGCAGAATTTTGTTTATTAATCTATTTGCATTTTTAATTAACATTCTGCAGTTCTCCAAGCCTCCAGGCCATCAAAGGAAACAAACTAATTATACAGTATAAACAACAGAATGCAATATCACTAACCTAATATCTTGCACTCGAAGGCTTCGTGAGAGACGAATACAACAGCAAACTTACATTAACTTTGCTGAGGTTTTGGCTATGTGACTCCAGTGCAAGAGTAGAGAACCTGTCCTAACTCACTTGATTCTGTACCTGCTGGGATGTAAAATGTTATTTCCTTGAGCAGACACAGTCTGTTTGCAATGAATTGTACTGTGAGGTAAGGTAAAGATGGTTTCCTCAGCTTGCATGACTTTCCTCTTTCATGGGTGGCCAGGCCTGCTTTTGGCCTGTAAACCATCAAGGCTAATTTCAAACTAGGTTCTTTTCTTTGCCACAATATGCATTCTCACAGCCTGAGCTAATTCTGTGTGCACAGGTTCATCGCATTACTGTAATTTAAAGCACATTTGGCTTCAAAATGGAAAGCAAGGGCTGAACGCTGAGGCCTGCAGAGTTTTGCTGGAGCGCCACACGAAACACAAATTACCTGTCAAACATATGGTCAGAGAGCAATTGTCCTAACTTCCCACTTTATTATAGGGACCGCTGTGAGGAAGCCGGACAGGAAAGCACCACAAAATGATTCTGCAGGTGATATTCTCATTGCCATGGCAACTCACAGGGCAGAATGGGCCTGGGTACATTCTGCTGAGGGGACTGTGCCAGCATCCAAAAAGGGGAGCAAGCAGAGGGGGAAATGGTAGCAAGCAGAATGTGATTTTAGACACTAGGAGCAGATTCCTGTGTCAAATGGGCAGTGTTTAGGAAATGACCACATAGATACAATTATAAGCAATTCTGACTACTTGACACCATTGTGTCAAGGATAAGAAAACTGCAGAAAAGCTGGATGAATTCTTTGCATCTAGCTTCACAGCAGAAGAGAAAAGGCAGATCCTAGTGCCTGAACTAACTTTTGCAGGAAGGGAGTCTGAGGAACTGAGGTAAATAGTAAAAATATTCCTTCCAGTAGCACCTTAGAGACCAACTAAGTTTGTTATTGGTATGAGCTTTCATGTGCATGCACACTTCTTCAGATACCAAGTGTGCATGCGCACGAAAGCTCATACCAATAACAAACTTAGTTGGTCTCTAAGGTGCTACTGGAAGGAATATTTTTATTTTGTTTCGATTACGGCAGACCAACATGGCTACCTACCTGTAACTTGAGGTAAATAGTAGTGATTCTAGTAAAAAATACTGGTGAAAATAAAATGACATCCTGCCAAGAGTTCTCAAAGAACTCAAATGTGACCTTGCTGACCTTCTAACAGAAATATTACTGACCTTCTAACAACAACAAAATCTTAATTTCACATATAGTCTTATGGGAGTGGGACCTTGGGCAGTAGAGGATGAAGATGTGATCCCATTGTATAGCAGCTGTGAAAAATGTAAATTCCGTGGCAGGGATTATGAGGAAATGAACTGAAAATAAAACTGCCAATATCATATTGTCATTATGCAAATGTATGATGTGACCCTATTTGGATACAATGTAAATTTATGATCCCCCCGCCCCCCCAACTCAAAGAAAGATATTGTAGATTTGAAAAAGGTTCTGAAAAGCACAGCCAAAATGCAGGTGGAGATGGGGATGGAGAAACTCTGCTGCGAGCAAAGGCTTCATCTTTGGGGCCTTTTTAGTTCAGAGAAAAGGTATTATCATTGGCTATCCAGTGAAGTTGTGTGATTCAGAACAGATAAAAGGAAGTACTTATTCACGCAATGCATAGTTAAACTACAGAATTTGTTCCCACAAGGGAAAGTGATGGCCACCAAGTTGGATGGCTTTAAAAGAGAATTCGACAAATTCATGGAAGATCTGGCTAGCAATGGGTACTTGCCATAATGGCTATACTCTGCCTTCATGGTCAAAGGAACAGTAGCCCAACTAGACCAGTATTCTGCTCTCACAGTGGCCAACTAGATACCCAGGGGAAGCCTTCAAGAAGGACCCCTCATGCAGTTTCCAGCAACTGCTGCTCAGAAGCATAGTGCCTCCTGGACATCCCTTCTAATTCTATGATCCTAGCAGCTTTAAAGTTGCCAGGCATTGCAGAACTCTCCCTGCTCATTTTTGTTATTGTTGTTGTTGCTTGGGAGTTATTTTATGAATAATTCCTATGCCCTCCTGGTGCCCTCCAGATGTTGTTGGTACTGTTTCCAGATCTGGGCACCACAATTTAAGAAGGATATTGACAAGCTGGAACATGTGCAGAGGAGGGCAACCAAGATGATCAAGGGTCTGAAAACCAAGACTTATGAGGAGCGGTTGAAGGAGCTGGGTATGTTTAGCCTGGAAAAGAGGAGACTGAGAGGAGATATCATAGACATCTTCTAATATCTCAAGGGCTGTCACATGGAAGATGGAGCAAGATGGAGTTGAAGGGCACCAACTCAAGGAGTATCAACCCCTGAAAGGTTTTTGAGCCTGTGAACATGAACATTCACACATTTTTCTTCTTTACAACAATAAAATGATACTTGTAATACTGCGGATGACACTGCCATAATGATAACGGGGATGTTTGAAGCCCCATAAGAATGTGGTTAATTTTAACAAAACTGTTTCAGCTTCCCTTGAAATGCTCATATTTCAACTGAGGCGGAACCTCCACTTTTACTTTGCATTTTCCTTCCAGATAAATCCAGGGGGAACTGAGGGATGTGAAGAAAGGCTCTGAAAAAGTTGGCTAGCCTCATGGAAACCCTTCAAGTCCCTGGCATGCTTAGTCTGAGGAGAAACCTCCACAGCTACTTCAGGCAAACTCTCAGTAGCTACTCTACATTATTCTAGCTACGTCCTAATTATCCGTATAGTTACTTGATCTGAAAACAAGAGCACTCCTGCCAAGTTACTCCCATGCCTAGGACGGTACTGAGTCTTTCCTAATATGCTTCCAGGTACGGGAACGAATTGGGACTTCTCTTGTTTCATTAAAAGCCTAACATAGAAAACAAATTGTTATAAGTGCAATTTCTACCCCATTTAAAGGTTTGGCTGCTTGTTTGTAATAGCAGCTTATATCCCCAGAGTCACAGCAGCGATGTATTATTTATTTTCATATATTAAGGTCTGGTTCAGATGTAAAGTTGCCACTCCACAGAGGAGTGAGCAATGAACTTGTGTGATCTCAGCTCCCCTTCCTTGCTCTCCTTGTATGCTTGTTTTCAGAGAAAGATTCAGCTCTGTAAAGGTGTCTATTGCTCACCCAATGCAAGAGAGCACCTATGGGAGGAAGGACAGGATATAAAGAAGAGGACGAGGAGGAGGAATCTGTCTGTTGGAGGACTAACCCAATCAACCATTCAGTCAAAACACTAAACTAATCACTCATAAAATTCAAAAATTGTGTGTGGGATGGGGTGTTAGAATCCCTGAACATTAAGTCTCTCTGTGTAATAAGTCAGTCTAATGGGGCTTACTCCAAGGTTATAGGACTGGAGCCTAGGCATTGGGGGAAAGCAGGGTTCTTCTGCCTTTCACAGCGTAGCAGGCAGAAATTCAACAGATTAAGCCATTTCTTGTATGGAAATGCAATTATCACCTGCTCACATTCTGTCTGTCGGATATTTTATTACATGTGTGGCCACTGTTTCACTTTGGTGCCATTCCACTCCGCGCGCAAAAGAGGGCACAAAATTGAACGTGTAAATTTCATGCGGATCACAGTCCTCTTTCACAAGTCACTTGGAGAGCCGAAACCACATATAATGTATTGGCCCAGAAAATCGTGCTGGCAACTTTGGTCTAATCGCCTAAAGTTCTCCAAATCTGTGGCCAACACCACATCTTGTGATAGTGCACTCCATAATAATAATAATAATAATTTATTATTTATACCCCGCCCATCTGGCTGAGTTTCCCCAGCCACTCTGGGTGGCTTCCAATTAAGTGTTAAAAACAATATTAAATATAATTAAATATTAAAAACTTCCCTAAACAGGGCTGCCTTCAGATAGCTCTTAAAGATAAGATAGCTGCTTATTTCCTTCACATCTGGTGGGAGGGCGTTCCACAGGGCGGGCGCCACTACTGAGAAGGCCCTCTGTCTGGTTCCCTGTAACCTCACTTTTCGCAATGAGGGAACCGCTAGAAGGCCCTCAGCGCTGGATCTCAGTGTATTGTCCTGAGAAGAAATATTTCCTCTTGTCTGTCCTGAATCTTCCAGCATTCACCTTCATTAGACATCCCTGAGTGCTAGCATTAGGGAGAAAAACTTATCTTTTTCCACTTTATGAAAATCCTCCATAATTTTATACCATGTCCCTCTGTTTAATCCAATGACGCACCTTAGAAATTATCTTGAGATTTGCTTTGCTCCATTGTGAGCACCAACTGTTGCCCAGGACTTGAATATAAACCCAATTAAAAATTGTCCTCCCTTACCCCAATAACTCCAGTAGTTGATCTATTGCTACGGAAATAAGATTCTAAGGGGAAATGCTATGAATATGTTCTCAATGCACAACAAACATAAATGAATGAATACATGACATTGAGAGCTCATTTGCTTCTCCGGGGTTCCCTGGTTTCTTTAGCATTCTTTACTGAATGGAATGAATTATTCCATTTGTTTTCATTTTCAAATTCATTATGGAATGAATAGGTACCCCCTAGGATCTAATCTCCTCTTCATGGCTCTTTCCTTGAGGTTAATTTGAGGGGGGGGGGTGAAATAATGAACATGATACGTAGAGAGGACCCCACATGGAAGCAGAAGACTCTACACTTCCCTGCTCCTATTTATCGGATTTTCTGCAAAAAAAAATGCATGAATTGTGTTCTCTGACAATATCTTTGCATCTATCCTTTTTTTTAAAAAAAAATTATTAATTTTCCAAAAAAACAACAACAAAAACAAAACAAAACAGATTGACTTCCCTCTAGTCCCTTCCTTGGTTCCATTATTTATCAATATGCCACATGTCCATTGCTAAGTTTGAAACCCATTTGAATTACCTATAATCCATTCATATCAAAATTACAAGTAATTTTAAAACTCTGCTAATGTATTAACTTGTGTACAATGCTTCTGTATATATGCAATAAACATCTTCCACTCTTCCTTAAATTTGTTGTCATCTCTTCCTGTTTCATTGTCAGTTTTGCCATTTCAGCATATTCTATTAGTTTGACTTGCCAATCTTCTTTAGCTGGGACACCTTCTTCTTTCCAATATCGTGCTAATAATTTCTGTGCGGCCGTAGTTGCATACATAAAGAAATTCTTTTGTGATTTTGATAAATCCACCCCTATAATACCTAAAAGAAAAGCTTCTGGGTTTGTTTGTTTTTTTGACAAAGGTTGTTTTAAACATCTTCTTCATTTCATTATGAATTATTTCACAATATTTCTTTATAATTTTACAATCCCACCACATATGAAAAAATGTCCCTTCGGTTATTTTACATTTCCAACACTTGCTTTCCTTAGTTTTATACTTTTTTGCTAATTTAACTCGAGTTAGATACCATCTATACATCATTTTCATACTTTGCATCTATCCTAAAATGAAGAAAAATCATTTTAAAAGTAAGAGCATAAGGCCAAAAGCCCATCTAGGACAACATCCTGTTTCCATGGCGACCCTCAAACATGATCTGAGGGTTCATCCACACTGCTGCTCGTCCCTTGACTAGAAAGCATTTGTCTGTACAGTTTTCTGTTAGCCCCACTGCTTTCCCCAGGAAAACCCACTCTTTTGAAACAGAGTAAATCTCAACTTGCAGGAAACCGGCTGGCGCTTGCTCCGAATTCAGTGGGAGAGAGTGGGTTTTCCCAGGGGGAAGCGACAGGACTAACAGAAGTGTGGACAAGCCCTGAGTGAAATGCCGCTTTCCACACTTGCAATTGCCAGCAACTGGTATTCAGAGACAAGTTACATTTAAAGAAGATCAGTAATTTCACTTTTCAGGTGCTTAAGAACTGCCAGGCGGACGCCATCCGCATACCCTCCAACATTTCTCTGATGAAAATAGGGACGTCCTCTTCCATAATAATGAAAATCTTAATTGTGTTATTTATAACCTTCCCATTGGACTCGGTTGCCTCAGCCACTCTGGGCAGCTACCAACATATATAAAAACATAATAAAACACTAAAA